CAATATTGACTCCATCGGCGAATGCAATGGCGGACTGCCCAATTTCATGACATTAATATGGACCCAACACCTAATTTCACGACATTAATATGGACCCAACACCTAGAGGGTCCCAGGGTATCAGGCAGAGGATTGCTTACACCTGATGCTCATCAAAACAGAAAAGCAGCAGCGCCCAGCCACATGCCAGGTAAAGATGCTCCTCTCCCTGGCTTTGTGAGCAGCCTCTGAGCTCTCCTGTGCCAGGTCTAGAATCAGAAATGCCCCTTAGCCCTGCTGACAGTGGAGGAGGAAGATCTGCTCCAGGAGGTCAAAGAGTTTTCAACGCTCCTCTTCCGGTCAATGGCCATTTAGAAAGATCATCATTCCGAAGATTGTTTCTCTGATTTGTTTCCATGTTCAGAAGGAAGAAAGAGATGTATACTGAGGGAAATGCCATACTAGCACTCTGTGTTCCCTGGATTTCTTCCTCTTTATTTGGAGGATAAACTCATTCAGATGCCGCAACGTAATTATTATTGTAACCATAAAATTATCAGTGACACTAAAGCCTACAGCTTGGAAGCTCCAAGGACAATTAGATGGATTACCAGTGCAGTAAGTACAGTGGATTACATAGTTAAAAGCCTTCCATCGAGAACACCCTCCCATGTAATAAAATTTTAGCAGGCATACCCTGACTGACATTAGCTGCTGGAGGCAGGCTGTGACTTAACCACACCACACAAGGTCAACACTTGACTTTTTGCCCACAAATTAGTCTCCAGCTGGCCTCTATTTGCTGCAAACCACACTTATGAACTCCAAAGATTTGAATCTTTGCAGCAAACAACAATCCTAGCTACATGCAGAAGTCAACCCTCCAGAAAAGCCCATGGCAGCGACGTCCTCTAAACTGTTCTCAGACACAGTGGGAATAAACCTGACCATCAGTTTTTCTTCAAAATTGGCTATGACAGAGCAGCCACAGAGAAACCTCTGCACAGATGAGACCTCCTGGTTCCTCTGCATCCTGCCAGTACACATCAACCAAGCCAGGCCTCCGGACACTGGCAGTGGATCAGGTCAGTTGGGCTGGAAGCAAAGCAAGAGACAGGGATTGAAGGAAAGTGGTGGTGTAGGAGAGACCTGAGAATAAAGTCTAGAGTGCACTTCCAAGGAGTTGTACCGTCAACCCAAAGGTACACGGTTTGAATCCACTAGCTGCTTTGCAGGAGGAAGATGGGCAGTCTCCTCCCATGGGATTTACTGCCTCTGAAAACCCTCTGGCAGGCCAGCTCTGGGTCAGTTCCAATTGGATGGTGCATCTCAACAACTACCTACAAGGAGATCGCAAGTGCCTTCCCGTGAATTTAAAATAACATCCAAGGAGCTTCCAGTCTTACGTAACCTGGCCTCGTTTCCACAATCTCTGCTTGCTAACTCTGCTGGCCACTCTGGCTATCCTTTCTGCCCTGCAGACATGCCAGCATCTCTCAGCTGCAGAAAGTTCCATGCACTGGTCCTTCTGCAGGGAACAATTAACCCTGCATCTTCCCATGCCCAGTGTCCTGTTTCTTTCTCTTCAGATCTCGTTTCAGATTTCTCCTCTTGGGAGTTCTACGAGCACCAACCCTTCACAGTACTACCATTCAATTTAGCAGTGTGAAAAATGCTCTCACTGTCCCTTGGGGTGGGCATTCACTCATGCTCGTGTCCACTCATTTGTGCATACATTTGTCCATTTGCGTGTCCAATATGCATTTGTTCTTATAGACAGTCATTCTTGCTTGCACCAATGACGCACGGATGCAATCTTTCATGCACTCATTCATTCACCATGAACCCACGCATGCGTGCACCCATCCATTCATGTATCTGCATGTGGCTCTCCGTTTCTACTGCTCCATCGGGCCAGTGACTCAATCTAGTCACAAATGTCTCCTTAGGACCTGGAATCATGACACTTTGCAACTTATGTTTTACTGAAGGACTGTAACAAGGGAGAGAAATGTGTGCTTTAACAAGGTGAGAGACAGTCTTTTCAGGAAGGACACAAATTCCTAACTGAAATTTAGTCCTAGCATGCACGTGAGATGCCTGGTGCCCCCATCTGTCCACTGCCGGGCTGACTGCCCCAGGTACTGTCCTCCTGCACAGCGTGAATCCCCAGGTAGGAGCAGGGTAGTAGGAGACACCAGAAGCCTGAGGTGAGAGAATAATGAGATCCAGATAGCAAGTGACAGCGTTGTCTACGAGGCAGGGATGGTACAGGTACTGTGAGGACTCCGCACTCTTCCATAAGCCGTGTGGGAAACTCTAAGATGATCGGGGAGGGAGGCAGTGTTGGTGGCAAAAGGCTGGAGAGAGATTTTGTCCTCAAGATCCCATGAGCTTAGAATTGACACTTCTCTTGGTATCCAGAAAGTGTTCCTCAGTTAATAATTAGGAGGTGCACCCCAGTTTTGCTTCTGTTCTTGGGCAAACATCATCTGTAACTCAGTCCAAGAAGCTGACGCACATTAGCTATCTAACCCACCAGTGTTAGTACACAGGCTCGAATATTTCAATATACAGAATGACCTTGGGTAGAAATGAGTTACGGGCCAAGAACTGGCAGAGTAAGGTAGATCAGAAAAGCTGATGTGTGCACAAAACACAGGGAATGGGGAGAAGCCAATGCCATGACAAGGTAGATAGAGCCTTGGAATAGATTCATGGAAGTCGGAGCCAGGTAAGAAAGCAGAGGAAAAATGATGCTTGGAGCTTGTTGTAAAGAGGACAGGGCTACAGGGGAGAGTATGGTGAGCAAACTGCCCAGTTTTCCTCTCTGACAAAGTCAAGGGCAAAGGCTTTCAGAGATACATGGAAAGCAATGATGGAGAACTGTCAACCCAAATGCAGTGATACCATGATTCCAATTACTGTTCAAACAGAATGGCTCACAGACGATGCCAGGCTGTGAGGAAGGAGAGGGTGAATGGCTGGATGAATGAGCAAACTGGACAGAACTCAAAGGTCAAGTCTGAGTTTACCCAAGCCTCCAAGACCATCACAGCACTGAGCAGAAAATCTGTTTGTCAAATGTTTAGCAATGCACAATATAATCAGGAAAACAAAAGTCGTTTTCCATTTAAAACCTCCGAAGCATAGTAGAGAGCTCTGCAGTGTAGGTGATGAAAGACTTGGCTGGCGATGTTGACAGAGAGCCTTCGGCACCCAGGACGGCCACATTGACTTGGTAAATCGGTCCCAACAAGTTTATAAGCCAATGCAAATCAAATCGCTTCTCCTGCTTTCTGGTTCCCCTCTTTGTCCCTGGGTACAAACTAATATTTAGGGTAAAATATGTATGCTGAAAACACTGAGGAAAAAGGGCCAGTCAAGCAGGAAAGGGGTCAGTATGTCCTGGGACCTGGGCGGAGACCATGGGAAGGAGGGTCTCCCCTTCTCATCAGACCAACAATGTACAAAATTGAACTACTCTGTTAATAAACTCTGACTTAATTTGAATTGGTGACGGGAGAATTTCTACCTCTTTCTTGGCTCCTTAATTTCCTATAATTAATAAAATTCTCCAGAAAACAGCTAGAGCAAAGTAACCACGAGCTGCCCAGGGACAGTGTGAGGCCAGATCAGAGGACAGAGAGAATGACCAGCTCGGGACAGTGTGAGGCCAGTTCAGAGGACAGTGTGAGGCCAGTTCAGGGGACAGTGTGATGCCAGGTCAGAGGACAGTGTGTGGCCAGGTCAGAGGATAGTGTGAGGCCAGCTTGGAGGACAGTGTGTGAGGCCAGCTCAGAGGACAACAGACTTTTTATTTGACTCCAGAGAAAAACTATTTGGGATTTGCATGCCGAGAGGCACAAGTGAGATGATTGTATACATACCTATGTAACAATTTCCATGAAGACATTGATGGACCTGACCTTCAAATTTGTATGCCATTCAGTATTATTAATCTTTTACTATTTTAAATGATTTTAAAATGTAATTCATGTGTAGCCTATCACACTGGAACCCTGGGAGTACAGTGACTAAGTGCTCATCTGCAAACTGAAAGGTCAGAGGTTTGAGGCTCAATAGGCCCTCCATGGGAGAAAGACGGGTTGGTGGGCTTCTATAGAGACTGCAGTCTTAGCAGCCCCGCAGGCAGCTCTACTCTGCAGGGCCACCGTAACTGGACCCATTCCGAGGCTGCGGGTGCAGCCTTCGGTGCACAAGCCAGTAGCAGGTGGGCCTTGGCCCTCAGGTTGTGGTGTGCAGACCTCAGCAGGAGAGGAGGCGGCGGAATCGGAGTCAGCAGATCTGTGGCTGGCTTCCCCTGTACAGGAGAGATTCTTCACAGCTCGGTAAACAGAGGGCTGCTCGGAAATAGCCCAAACTCCCTCTGCTTATAACAAAATCAGATTATCCGCTTCATCCTGTAGTTTATGTTCATATTCTAAATTTAATTTCAATATCATCTTAGCTGTAGTCGAAGCACTGGTCGTATACAAGTGCAGGGGCGGAAGTCAGATGGGGAACATGACAGTAATTGAGTTATATCACCATAGCTTCGAATTAGAAGTATTTGCTCCAGAAAAAAGGAACCCTGGTGGTGCAACGATAAAGCACTTGGATGCTAACTGAAAGGTCAAAGCCAGAAGCCCACTCATTGAGAGAAAGATGTGGCAATCTGCGTCTGTTGTGATTGTCATTGTTGTCACGTGCCATTAAGTCAGACCAACTTACAGCTGACCGTCCGGGGGGTTTACAGAGACTATAAAATCCACAAGAGGAGAGTGCCCAGCCATCTCTCTCAGAGCAGCTGGTGGGTTCAAACCATCAACCTTTGGGTTGGCAGCATAACGCCTTCCCGCCGAGGCCACCAGAGCCCTGAGACCTCATGGGACAGCTTGATTCCATCCAGTGGGGCTACTCTGAGCTGGAATCAACTGGACATCAGTGGGTTTGGGGATGGGCTGTGGGAAGGCAGCTGCACCGGCCACGCCTTGTAACGCTCTCTTCTTCCCTCGCAGGCTTTCGTATCGGACCGGGCAAGACACAGCGAATTGTGACACCTGCAGGAACAGTGCCTGTATTATCTATAGGTATGTTCACGCTCTCCTCTTCTCCCTGGTTATGAGGAGTGATAATGTGTACCCACAAATGCAGGAGCATGTGGAGCATGCTGGGATTATGTCAGAGAGAGTAAAGGGCCTTCCTTGACCATCCGTCTAAGGCACCTCTAAGCACGTGGAGCCCAGGTGTGTCATCCAGGGATAAGGCAGTGCGTGCCCCGTTTATCTTGCAAATGCATCTCCGTGGTTTCAAGAACTGGTATAAGTTTGATGGCTTGCTCCCTGGGAATCGATTGCCATGAGCACTGAACGGTGTGTTCCGGAAGGACTGTGAAATATAACCCTGCAGAGGGTATAGATCAAAGGCTGAAAGCAAGCAGCATGTGCCAGGCAAACGGCGACGGGGCCAAGGTGCTCATCCCAAGTGTGTCCGTGATGCCAGGGCTCCTGTGGGGATGGCATTTAAACCTCTCGGAGCAGTATCTTCATGTCGAGTCCCTTGATGTTTGTTGGATTTCTTTGTGTTTTGTTGGTGGTCAGTTTCTATTTCTTGAGTTTTGTTGATTGTTTTTTTCATTTTAATTTAGAGGTTTGTTTTTATAGTACTGATAACAACAAGAATCCTGGGCAAAACCCCTGTTTACCTCGAAGCCATGGTCTAGGCTACAGAGACATGGTCACAGCCTGGGGAAGGATGCCCTTCGTTTTGGGTCTTGTTTGTTTTTCAAAAATGTCACTTTCACAAATGAAATATGAGTGCAATTAGGGTTGCTACGGTAGGATCGCGTCCTCAAATGAAGCCTGAGGGGTATTCTGAGCTGCTCTACCATTAAAGAACAATTAGAGCTGTAGTTACACAGCTAAACGTGTGTTACTGAGCCCCTCAACCCACAACCTGCAGCTAAAAAGATCTTCAAAGCTGGTTCCCTCTCACAAGAAGACAGTTATGGGGGGGAGGAACATAGGTCATCCCCAAGTTGCAACATATTTGGGTTTCTGGGAACTGTTAGGACTGTTACTTGTTAGCATGTGTTTTTAATCGTAACAAGCGCTGCATGCATTGCTATAGTATATAATTTGGTGTTACTGTTCTCATGCCAACCCTTAAAGACAAATGAAGATGGGACTTATACCTACAGTGATAATAATGAAAACTGGGGGGAGGGGGAGGGAAGAAATGAAGTGCTGTACTTACGTCAGAACTAACGTAACAATGGTGGTGTCAGAATGGAACCTCATCATAAGCCGGGGCTACCTGTTTAGCCAAAGAGGGCGAGGCCACACAGTTCCACCTGCCGCCTCTCCTAGGAGTGTGACTATGACGCTCC